TAAATTAAAACTGAAATAAGGGTTTAGTAATTACCTTTGATTGTTATATAGCAATAACAATCAATCCTTGCTTTGATTGGCTTCAGAAAGCTTAGTGCCTCAAGTGTTGCACCTCTAATGGAGTCACAAACACCACTAAGCAACTTGGATGAAGAGGGAGGAGAGAGGATGCACCAAAAACGGCTGGAAACCCTAGAGGAACTCTTGTCCACGTTTTTGGGGCTTAAGGGTCCTTTATATACATGTAGGCTATTAGGGTTTACAACTAGGAAACCCTAATCTGACTGCTTAGGCCTTAAGCAATCCAATGGACCATTCCAGAAGGCCCTTGGACGATTTCTTTATGGACCTCCATATAGAATTCGTCCATTGCCATCTAATGGATCCTAAGCCCAACTTTGTAACTATCTTATAATTACAATATCGGTCCCCTTAATTTAATTAATCTCTTTTAGTCACAAAATTAATTCTTAATTAATTCTTGACTAATATTAATTAAACAATATGATTTCTCCTTTAATATATTATTCTTATAATATATTAATAAATCATAATTAAACCTTTCTCTCCTTAATTCATCCTACATATTGCTATGGTGAAGGCAACCCAAAAGGACCATGCTCATAATCGGGTCAAGTACATACCAAAATAGTTATGGACTTAGACACTAATCCAACATAAACCACCTCAAGGAAGTCATATCTAAGTGTTGGAGTGAGGTCTTAATCGTTTAAGAGCTGAATGAGAAAATTGGCAAGTTGGTGGAGTACGTTGGGCGTACAAGCAGGTACACGTAAGCCCTAAAGCGAGTACGCTGAGCGTACGAGCTGAGTACGCCCTGCGTACTCAGCAGTGGGCTTCGGTCATGTGGGCTTCTCGATGTTGGGCCATGTTTGGACTCTAGATGATTTGGGCCTTGTGGGCCATTAGAATACTATTTTGGGCTAGTGATATTTTATTGGACCTTTGGTTGAAGGCCCATGAAGGGGTTTGGGCCCAATTTGGAAAATTGGGCCATATTTGGGCCTTGGATGATTATTTTGGAATTTGGGCTTTTTAGACATTGGATTGGGCTTTGGCCTTGGGCCAAGTTAGGGAAAGGATAAAAATGTCTTTACCATAGTTTGGACTCTTAGAGTGAGTCGGGATCCAATTATTAATTGGATGTTATTTTATGATAGCGTGGGGATTTTTGCGGGCCAGCAAACAGAGATCTTTCTATGAGATTCAGTTGTGCGAGGTGAGTTTCCTCACCATGTTTAGCGAGCCTAAGGCACCAATGTCAGCCCATGATTGGTTATTCTAGGATACTAGATGTCTGTGTGACTCTTGTATGTGTATATGCTTATTTGACTTGTATGTTGGGCGGGGCCCGTTATACTCAGTGGGTGGGGCCCGTTATACGAGTGTGGGCGGGGCCCGATACAGTCATTGCACGGGGCCCATTATATGTTTATATATGTATGGTATGTGGAATTTTGGGGAACTCACTAAGCTTTGCGCTTACGGTTTTCAGTTTATGTTTCAGGTACTTCAGATTAAAAGGGAAGAGCCTAGGATGATTGCAGAGCACACACCACCGTTTTTCGCATGTTGAGATTTAATCTGATATGTTTTGATGTAGTGACATACTTTGATCTTTTGGGTTGTAAAACAATGTTTGGATTAATGTTTTTATTAAATCAAAAATTAAATTTTTTGGGTCTTATTTTTGGGACGTTACAGTTCACTTCACGGTTTTGGCAGAGATTCCATGAGGAACTGGGTACGAGACTACACTTTAGAAGTGCTTATCATCCGCATACTGCCAGTCAGAGTGAGCGGACCATTCATACACTTGAGGACATGTTGCGAGCCTGTGTGATTGATTGCTGTGGGAGTTGGGACTCCTACTTTCCATTAGTTGAGTTTTCATACAACAACAACTATACTCCAGTATCGGTGCACCGCCATTCGAGCTTTTCTATGGGAGGAAGTGTCGTAACCCATTCTGCTGGGGAGAGGTTGGTCACAGGGTTATGGGAAGGACTGAATTATTCCTTCAGACGACAAAGCTTATTCAACAGATCATACAAAGGTTACAGACAACTCAGAGTCGGCAGAAGAGTTATGCCGACAGATGCCGATTGGAGTTGGAGTTCCAGGTCGACGGTATGGTTCTACTGAAGGTATCACCATGGAAGGGTGTAATATGCTTTAGGAATAGGGGCAAGTTGGGGCCCCGGTTTATTGGGTCGTTTCGAGTGATTGCCAGGGTTGACGGGGTAGCTTACGGGTTGGATTTGCCTGAGGAGCTCAATCAGATCCACAACACCTTCCATGTTTCCCAGCTTCGAAAGTGTATGACTAATGATTCAACAGTTTTTCCTTTAGATGATATCCGCTGATTGACTAAATTATGTTGAGAGGCCGTAGTGATTTTGGATAGGAAGACGAAGGCCGTGCACAACAAGGTGGTATCTTTGGTCAAGGTTTAGTGGAAACATTAGAAGGGTTCCAAATAGACTTGGGAACCCGAGGCAAAGATGCAGGAGCATTACCCTGAATTATTCACAGCAACGGACTTCGAGGATGAACTCTGATTCAAGTGAGGGAGAATTGTAACATCTCGATTTCCAGGTATTTTACATTTTGACCCTAGGTATGAGTATCATTTGCAGATTTGGTCCCGCATGTCATTTTTGTAATTTTTGGGAGTTGCTTACGTACGCTGGGAGTACTTGGCCTGGACCTAAAACCCTAATATTTAGGGTTTGTACACTATTTATTTATCCTTAACTCTCAAGGCTCCTTTCATTTATCAACCTCCAGCCTCATATTCGACCCATACAAACTCTAATCCATTTTTAGAGCATCTTTGAGTCGTGAGTGTGTATTTTGGTGATCTTGAAGGAGGAAGAAGGAAAAGGAGACCATCTTAGAAGAGTGAAGCACCTTGGATCCAGAAACACATCATCATTTGACACCACTTGGAGGTAAAAAGCTCTGATCTTGATGAAGTTTTGCTTAGATCTTGATTAGCCATGGATTGTGTTCATTTTGGTCCCATAAGCTTGATGTATATGAGTATGGGTTACTCTAATTCATTTGAGATGTCCTTTCAGAAATTTTAGAGTGTTTAGAGCCATGAAAATGTAATATTGGTCCTTAGTTTTCCCCCATGCATGGACTAGGATGTCTTAATGAGTTAAGAAGTTAGGGTTTTTGGTTTTGAGCACCTATTAGCCATGCAAGATCATAATGTTGGAAACTTTATGATTAAGGACATCATTTGAAGACTAGATCTGGATTTTGGACGAAAGAGCTTAAGGTATTAAGCACTTATTAGAAATAGAGGGTGGCTGACACGTACGGTGGGCGTACCAGAAGGTACGTTGCGCGTACGTGGTCAACATCTCGATTTTGGTCAAGCTTTGAGTATGTTGAGCGTACTCAGCCGAGTCAACTCGGTTGACTTTTTGACTTTCGATCTTGACCATATTTTGACATGCTGAGGAGAAGAAGAAGAAGAAGAAGGTCGAAAAGAGGAGCTCTAGGAAGAAAGGAACGATGGGTGGGGAATGTAACCGGCCTGTAAAATGGTTGGTGACATGCTGTAAGAGGTAAAAACTTGATAAAAACCACAATTGAACCAATTTTACGGTATGTTAAGGTATTAATGCACCAAAAACTGGACATGCCACAAAATCGAACAATGGGTATAAAATGGTGAGCTTTTATCTTAAATCTTAATAACCTTTGTTTTATTGATTTATTCTCTTTTTTACGGAGGGGTAGACTTTTTAACCACCAGCGAGCCGCAACAGAGTAAAGGAAAGAAGCTACGAAAAATGTTTCGCGAAGGTACGTTCGATCAATTCGACTCCCTCGTGTTTATCCGTGGTAATCTCATTGATTTCCATTTTCTCGTTTGGTTTGTGATCAGTCAATTATAAGGTTTTATATGAATCTGTAATTACAGATTAGGGTTTATCGCATGCGTAGGACTAAGTTTGTTTTTCCTGTATTTATAAAACTGATCATGTGATTGTTTCTTTTGATCGTTTCAGAATTGGTATGGTGTTCTTTTCGTTTCGATTCTTGGTTTGAGTTTTTCGATTAATAGTTACCGTTTTGTTGACATTGATGTAAGACTAATTTTTAACGTTATTGGTTATAAATGTTACAATGCATATGTGATTTATGTTGATAATATTGTTCTGTATATTTAAGGCTGTTGTATGTTTGTATTTTTTTTATTTTCTTTCTTTTTTAACATTGAACTAGGGATTGTTCAGATTTGATAATTATGGTAGAGGAAGAAAATCAAATTGAGATGAAGGAAGAGGTGAAGGATGAAGCAGCAGATGTAAGCATATATTGATGTTTTCTTCTTCTTTCTTCTGTTTAGGTCTGTGTTTGATTGTATGGTGAAGAATTACCGACTTATATTGCCTTCATGTCTATTTCTGGTTGATGTGTTTTGATGTTGCTTTGTTAAATAAATAATGCATTTATGATGCATAAATGTTGGTTTTGATTCTTATGGTCGGAAGACATATGATTTGCAGTTTGTGCTACTTACATTACATGTCATAATGCATACATGCTTTTTTATTTGTTGATGAGTCTGCTTATGCACTTGCTAAAAGTTGAGGTAAAATCTCTGGTAAACTTATAGAAACATATAATGCTATCCATTTTGCCTATAGACTAACAATGTAGACAGTTTATGATTTGCTTAAGATGCACATATTTTGTTTTATCACTCGAGCTAATATGGAACTTCCAACAATCTTTTAGTAACTTTTGTATCTTCAAATTTTATTTATATAGAAAGGCAGGAACATAATTTTTCACCAAATGAGGTAAAAACTCATTTCCATGCTAGAACAGTATCGGTATGTAGTAGCATTACATTACAAATTACTTAGTGGATGCACCTCCTCTTATTTCACTCTATACATAGTAGTTTTATAAAACCAACAGTCGGCTTATTAAATAAAACAAGTTTTCTATTTCTAGTATAATAGGAGGGCCAAAAGGGCAAAAACGGAAAATGTTGATGCAGTTGCAATCACAGAGCCACTGGCACTGGTCAAACTTGTCCCATTAAAACCTTGAGTGCACCCAATGTTGATGGTGTCATTTAAGTTGTTGATAGTGGCTTTGTTTCGAAACACGTAATTTTGTTTAACGTACTTAACACATTTAAGAAGTTGTTGAGTGTGTTGTGCACAACCTCCTTCACAAAATGCTTGCGTCTCATTTGCACTTATGTTCAACCATCCACCTACATGGAGCGTGAACTTTCCCGGGCAATCCGAAGATACCTGCACAACCACCAATTATGTCCTTTACTTTTTTTAGATATAATACTGGTTTTGACTTAATGACATTATTAATGGGTTAAGCTTTTAACATGAAGATGGACGCTTATGCATGACTGTTTCTTTTTTTACTTAATATCGACATAATGACTTGATGAGTTGAGCCAAAAAACACGACTTAAATACATTAACCCGTTATCTATTTGCCCTTCCTTTTTCCTCCCAACTCCCAATGTTAAAACTAAAACTGATGAATGTTGTGAAATTGGTTTTTTAGAATGTAAGGGTAAAATGGTGATTTAGTCTAGTTCAGATGGATCATTCATTTAAAAAAAGAAAAGAAAATGGCCTTATGTATACAATATTTTATCTATATTAGACATCATTATCCATTCGGCTGTTTACATTTACAAAACTTAAAAAGGAAATAAAGAAAAGAAACAAAATTGGTTTTTTGGAATGGAAGGTTAAAATGGTCGTTTGGTCTACTTAAGATGGTTTGTTCGTTTAAAAAAATGGCCTTGTGTATACAATATTTTTTCTCGATCAGACATCACTATCTGCATCTGTTTTACATTTACAAAACTTAAAAAGAAATAAAGAAAAGAAACACCACCTTATTTATTTGACTTGGGTTGTATTTTATCTTTATCTAAGCAAAATGAATATAATTAAAAATTTAGTTAAAAAGGTGAGTGGGTGTAGCGTTTAAAGCTGTCTAAAATGCATAGTTGCATACAACTTCCTATAAATTGATGTATTGAAAAAAAAAATTAAAATATATGAAGGAAATAGAAAACTTACATTGAGTAGGCAATAGTATGCACTTAGATCTTGTATAAAAGGTGCAAGATTAACGTTGTAAGTGGGGTTCGTTGTATCTGAAAAAAGAACAGCCTTAGCAATCAACGCCGTGTATTTCATCATGCAAAGTATCAAATTTTGAAAGCAAACAACTTACTAATCTTGAAGGAACTTGAAATCCCAAAGAAACCCAATAAAGACAATCCGAAAAGCATAAGCATTCGAGAATTTTTCATTTTGATTTGGTGGACAAAACATAAAATTTTGCTATTAATTTATACTTGAAAGAAAGACTATAGACATGAACGATCGTTGAATCAATTTTATCACTAAAAACAATGGGATAACAAAAGTATATCCCATTACATTTGACATAAACAAGAATTAGCTTTCAAAATATTCCATAATGTTCTTTTTGAGATTGTATACCATCAGCAAATCGTTGTATGCATTAGATAGTTGTTAAGTGGATTTAGGTATACTTATCCATTAAGTTGGATATACATGTTTATACCATTGTCTTTATTTTTTAAGGTAAAATATATGTAAAATGTACTAACCATTTAATTTATCATAGAATGATCATGTGTCAATAGTGGAAGGACACCAACTACAAGCCTTGTTTTGAGATATTATGTATATTAAACTTGAAGGTGAAAATTCAAAACTTAGGAAACATTAAATCAATCTCATTCTGATTCAAAGGAACCAATAGCTCCACAAATTTTGATAAATGATGTTTTGGCAAAAGAAGCTAAAATTGCAATCGAAAAATACAATAATGTGAATAAACTTTATAACAACTCGTGTATTTCAGCTAAAACCATTGATCTGATCACCAATGGCCTCAACAAATTGAGAGGATAATGTGCACATGTGTTGCTTTGATCCATATTATGAATCGAATTAAGTTTTGAAATATTTTGAAATGATTTTTCAAACTAAGAGGTGTATGATGAAATTTGTACTACCAAAATATAAAAAGTAAACCTAGTAAAAGTTTGCTACCTTAATTCTTTTTAGGAATTATGATTTTTTTTATCATGGAAGTTTCAAAATTGTCATCATTTGGTCATTAAAGTTTTAATCGCGCTGATTAAGTCCCTAGATTTTTAATTGCCACTATTTAGCCACTTGAGCAGTTTTCCGGTTGCCACTTGCCACGTAGTTGTGATGATGCACCTATGTGTTCTAAATAAAGTGTTTTGATGAACTAGCGGAATTACTTAAACATCATGATCATTTGCTCCGTTTCTTTTATTTCCTACTCAACTTGATGCACACAAATGTTTGATGAAGAGAAGGGAGAAATAGCCGAATACTAGTGTGGATTGCCTCACAACACTCAAAAAATGATTTCACAATTGTATATTAGTAGGAGTAGGGATAAAGATGTGGAGAAGCTTCAAGTCTTGTTCAATGTCATCAACGAGCTTCATGAAAGGGTGGTGATGAAGAACACATTGATTGACAACCAGAGGGCTTTTGTGAAGGAAGTGAAGTTTTTGTTTTGTTTATTATCTTTTTGGCAAGGACAGGGTTGTGTTAAGCTTGTAAGTTGTTTTGCTTTGGATCTTTTTGAAAAATGGACTTAATAGGGATGTGTGGTATTTTTTTTTTTTTTTTTTTTTTTTTTTGAATCGTATGTAATATAATAAATACTTTATCATTCTTGTTATGGTTCAACTTTCGATTGACTTAAACAACTTGACTTGACAGAAACAAATTCAACATAAAAAATACCTAGAAATTGGTTCTTGAAACTTATTTGCATTTTGATTTCTAATGGGTAGAAGGAAAAATCAAATACAATGGGGATTAGTGTTCTATCTTTGCTTAGAAGAGTATGTCATATGAAGGCTTTCTTGAACCAAAAGAGAGGAGACGATGAAACATTCTTGAAGAAGAGGAGATGAAATGAGAGAAAAAGAGACAAATACAACACCAGAGAAGATAGAGGGTTTTATTTGGCTTCTAGACGCCACATCAATGCCAAGTCGAGTCGTAACAAATAGTTAAATAGTGATAAAATTGAAACTTTAGAGACTTAATTAGTTTGATTATAACTTTAGTATCTAAATGGTGACAATTTTAAAAATTTCATAAAACTCAAATTTAATTACATTAAATCAGAAAAAAAGATATAAAATGGGTGGGTTAAGTTTATCTACAACATTTTAGCAAACATGCAAATGCAATTTATGTTATCGAAAAAAATGGATAATCATTGAGCAAAATGTGGTGGCCTCAACACGATTCCACACAAATACTTTTGGTTGATTTTAATTTAGATTTGATAATCAAAACTCAAAAGGGTTTCTTGCTCCTGAGATGTCGCTGCTAATCATGCCTCCCTTCACCTTTACGTTTCATTTTCATGGTTCAACTTGATTTCTCTGCATTTTAAGGGACCTTGTAGCCGTATATAATATATTTTTTCGATTCAAACATAAAAATGATTGTTCCTTTCAGACACCTGAATGGCCAAAATGTCAAACCGTGGAACAACAAAACGATTCTTAATTCGAGAAATGGATCGAAGCATCAAACAAATGTTGAAGCTGGTTGAAGAAGAAGGAGATTCTTTCGCCAAGAAAGCTGAAATCTATTGCCAAAAGAGACCAAAACTCCAATCTCATGTCGAAGACTTCTACCGAATGTTCAAATCATTGGTCGAGCGTTACAATGAAGCCAAAGCCGAATTGAGGAGGAGTCGCCCACCGGAACTCCGATCCCGAAACTCAGGCAACTTCGATGTGTTTTCCGAACCACCTTCCGCCATGACGTCTCCTGATCGCAGATTATCTCGTCGCTTATCAGAGATTCCAAATTTTGATTACTTTGGAAACAAAGGATATGAAACTTCAACATTGGATTCCGAGTCGGATTCAGATGATTCCCTTTTTCATAGTTATTCGAGTTCGTCAAATTACAGGCGATTGCGAAATAAGATCGTTGAATTGGAGACTGAACTTAAGAAGGTTCAGATGGAACATGAAGAGAGTCGATCAAACTCTGAAATTGCGTATTATGAGGAAGAATTACGGATCGCCAAGGAAAAGATTCGATCGTTAGAAGAAGAGATCGATCAATTGAGGATCAAACTCCATAGATACGAATCGATGGAACCCCTTTCAGATGAATCCATGGATGATTTTGAAACTCCACGGGTAAACGATCGTCTGGCCGACGAAACATTGGAGCAAGAAGTTAAACGATTCAGGCGTGAACTCGACTCCAATGCTCGTTTCCAAAATCATCATGAATCCGATAAAAAACAGCACAACTCTGAACTCGATGGTGAGAAACTGAAACTATCAGAAGAAAACTTGCAGCTTCAAGAACAGGTTAGGAAACTATCAAAACAAAAAAAGCTAGACGAGAACATCAAAGAATGGGAACGATGCAGACGTTTAGAAGAGCATCTGGAAAGGATTAGAATTCGGAACAATGAAATGGAAGATGAAATCGAGCAGTTAAAGATGGACAGAGAAGGGATTGTCTCTAGGATTTCTGAACTTGAAGAAGAAACGAGTTTGAAAGATGATCAAATCGATGAAATGAACGATCGTCTTGAAAAACTACATTTGGAAATCCAAAAGTCGATGAATTCTGTAGAGGAGTTGAGGCATCGAAGTCGAGAATTAAAGAAAGTGATTGAGAAGCAACAGGAGATGATCGAAGAAGGAGCTGAGGAAAAACGACAGGCTGTAAGGCAGCTGTGTTATACAATGGAACATTATCGGAATGCGTATCAAATGCTTCGACAAGATCTTTTGGAACAAAAGAAACCGGTTATGGCGTCACAGGGTGACATTGTTAGTATATAG